CATCCTGCACAGATTTGGAGCAGGTCAAGCATTAAAGGCAACACTTTCATTGTTTCTTTATTTGCTTAGTCTGTTTTACTTTTCTGCTGACATGTCTGTTATAAGGAAGGCCCTGCAAGCATCAATTTTCCTTTGTTGTCCTGGGTAGAGTGAGCTTAGCAGAGTCAGTATTCTCCAATTAATTTGTGTTCTTGAACTTGCAGAATTCTGTGCATGTGCGTTAATAATACACTGTGTAGATTCACTATTAAACCTAGCCATACACTAGAAGAATTTTGTATGCAAATTTTTCAAAAATTGTTTAATTTTCTAATGATTATAATGGTTATGGAATGTCAAATTGGCGATCATTTTATACCACAGTGACGAAAAAATTCAAAAGAGCGGGATGGAAACTTTTTCTTAAAAGAACAAATTTCTAATAGTGAATGCAGTTTTCATTTGGAAATTTCATTCACTCCAAAATTGAATGTTAAAAACAAACTTATTTTTGGATGGCATTCAACAAGTCATCGAATTTACTAAAGAAACTTTAAGTACAAATGTTTGTTCAAAAATCTACTGGTACATGGCTGGCCTAGGCAAAAAAATCACAGTAATTATTTTAGCTGTATCTTTAGATTTGTGCTATATTCACATTCATAGGGCTGGGATTTTCAAGCTTCTGTTGCTGGTGGCATCAATGAAATGTTGCTACTGCTTTTCTTTCTGTGGAATACTAATAAAAAAGTAAATGGTGTATCAAAAATGTGTTAGGAGGGGGGGATTAAGAGGGTTTGTGCTAGGAGGGGGATTTGGGTGGGGAGGAAAGATTTGTACTGGAAAGGGTAATTTGGGGGAGGTTGTGCTAGGAGGAGGGATTTAGGGGATTTGTACCAAGAGGCGGGATTGGGGGGATTTATGCTAGAAGGGGGGAGGAGAGGATTTGTGCTAGGGTGCAAGGGTAAGAGTATGTGTGCTAGGAGGGGTGAAATAGAACTACAGTTTAAGTTTTATTTTTTTGGGGGGGGGAGGTGCAAGTAGCTGGTCATACCTAAGGGTGCACAATAGTCTAGCATCGGCCCTAGGTGTATGCGATAGAGTACGCAAATTGACCTTAGGTATTTACATACAAAAGGTCTGAGGGTTACAGTAAGGTATAGTTCCAGTGCACATAATTAAAGTGGTATTAAACCCAAAAACAAAAATGTACTATATTGCAGCTTACCAGTTCTTAGTTGTGGTGGCTGCATCAGTTTTTTCTTTTTTAGGCTTTGTTCATTTATTTTCACCTGGTCATCTGGCCAGTGAGGTAGCCCATTTTTTTTTTTTTTTATAGTTCAATCCTCCCGCTGTACTATTGTGTTCTGATGGCAGGAATAAAGCGATCTGTGCTGCCGGCTATAGCCTGCGGCACTGTTCCATTGGGATAAACCGGCAGGCTGGTTGTACAGAAGTCAATTGGTGGATTGACTTCTGTACAACCAGGATGTTCATACATGGATCAAAATTTGGCCAGTCCCTGCTGAACTGGACGAATTTCATTCCATGTTTCGCCGGTTTCCTTTTAACAGACCTAGCTGTCCAGCAAATGTGTCAGCAGGTTGAGACAAACCATTTGACACTGACAGGTGTGCTTTACTCTCGTCAATTTGTCCTGTTTACCACTATCATCAAAAGCAAATGTGAAAGAAAATCCCACATTTTGGGTTGTCACCAGAACACGGAATATCTTTAAAAAGGGACACTAGTTTTAGTTATCCAGGTGACATAAAGAGGTTAATAAAATAGAGAGTTGCCACCATAACGAGGCGGGGTGGCATTATATTTAGCTCTCAGACTCACCAAAAGGTTCTGAAGTGGTCTGCAGTGATTGGTGGATGAAACGCGTCAAAGTAATGACGTCATCACACCCGGTAGTAGCGTTCCACGAGGTCTGTACATCGGACATGTGAGACTAACCTCATGATGCAAGGGCTGCAGAAACTATTCCCGGAGGTCTGAGAGAGTCCCCATCACTGGGCTATATGACACATTACATTGTTCAGAGGCATGGGCAGTGACTAACCACGGAAATGGATGGAAATGCTGAATAAACAGCCTACGGAGCAATTGCATAAGGAAAAAACCAAAGAGAGGCTATACAGCTTGTAACTCTGTGTCACAGTAGTAGTAAGTGTGAGAAGTATTTATTCACGATCTTATACTATCTCTATCCGCACTCTACCAAGGCAATTCCTCTCTTAACATATGCGTGGTCTTCCCATTTGCTAAAATTGGCTCCGGTCACTATATCGATTATATACAGGACTGCACGGATTCCAATAATGGCTCTTATCACATAAGATGCTCGCTTGGATATATATCCGATTTAGTCTGCATTAATCTGTCCTTATGCCCTAACTCTGATGGACATTCACTTTGCTTCTCAATTATTTGGGATGTTCATTTCATAGTGGTCACATTATTAACCCACTCTTCATTTGTCTACTATGACCTATGGTCTAAAACTGTGCACCAACGAACAGAGACGGTTTATTACCATTACCACCCCAGACTTCATATTGCTTATTACCAGGGGTAATAGGGAACTACCAGCATTAGGGAACTACCAGCATTGCCCAGGAACATTAGCGTCCATTATTATATCTCACCACTGTCCATATTGACACTGCATACTTCTTTGCAATCCGGATTGCTTCTTGGTTTTAATAGTTTTAGGTGGTTGTGTATGATATTCACTGTCTGCAGATATCATTCCCATTTTTTAATTGGGAAATTAATAAAATGTGTTTTTACATGTGAGCTACTCTGCCTGGGTGTATTATTACCTACTTTGGTAGCTTGCTTCTTGCAGCTACCGTGTTTGTTTTTTGAGGTTCTCTCACTTTGGAGGGACTACCTCTCACTTTCTATTGTGGCTATGGGGCAGAAAGTGAAGTTAGGTCTCTCACAACATTCAATAAATTGTTTAATTGTTTAGTTTTTTGGCATAATACTTCTTTAACAGTGCAAAGTCTATATTACAGAACATAAGGCTTAAAAAAAACACTGCTCCTAGAGGAGTTTAGAGTTTTGTCTGTAGAAGCAACTACTGTTATCTTATGTGTCCATGCCCATTAGGTAGTCCAGAGGTGTTTTTTTCAAGCTCAGCATTTAGAGTCAGGAAAAGAATCCTTCTGTTTTGCATTTTTTAGAGCATTTTTCAGGCAGCACAAAACACTAAATGCTCCTAAACGCTAGTATAAAAACAGCTCAAAATTGGCTTTTTTTCTGCCAAGAGCACAGGCGTTTTTTTAAGCCAGTGTACTTGGGGTCTAAATGTTTTTTGCTTTTAGTTTTTAACATTGTGGAACCTTATAACATTATTAGGTATAGCTTAGTTTCCCTTGCTGGGAAGATAAAGGGCCTATGTTGGCTTTTGTTCTCTCTCAATACAAGGCTGTGGAAAGACTTGAAGATGGTTGATGCAGCTTAGAATATCAGATTCTGTTCAAAAAGAGATCAACTGCAGGTCACATGCAACTGTCAGTGAATGCTGAATTGTCTCAGAAGCTCTTACACTCATGTTGAATGCACCCGAAAGCAAACTGCACAAGTCCAAAGCCCATCAATGTATGCTCTTACTTGGCCAGTGAGGCAGAAAATGATGACAAATTTTCTCACCAGAACAGGAATAGAGTTGAAATCTTAGAGAGGACACCTGTCTAAAATGGGATTTCCTTCATGTTGGGGACATTTCCTCTCACTTCATGTTATATCTCCAGGACAGAAAGTAAAGTGAAATCTCCCCAATGGGAAACGGCAAAAAAAAAAAAAAAAAATAGTTTGGCTTTTGATACTTAAAGGCCTCATACATATTGGTTTATTGTAAATGCTGTTTCAGCTAAACCGTGTTTTTTCATACAAGTTTAGACACATTCAGACACGGTTGGCATTTTATTTAATTGGCCTAGCTCTTAGGTGTGTTTAGGTGTTATTGGTGTTTTTAATGTTCAAAAGTTTTTCTCTCCTGAACACAATTCTTCTGCACTCAGGAGAGGAGCTTTGACTACCTCTAAGGCTTTTCTTGAGGTGCTTTCAGGGGCTTAGGCAAAAAACACCAGAAGCCCTAAAAACATCTGTTTAGGAGCACCAGTGTGCATGAACCCTAACTCTTCAGCAAATACTGATATATCTGTTCTGGGTGGACTGATCCTTCAGGTCTCTTGCACATGGCTGTAATTTACAGCATGTAGGCATACAGAATAAAATACAGCTATAGTTGTGGTGCCTGGGAGCCACAGCTGCAACATATTATGTCCATAAGAATGCATTACAGAAAGCGCCATGTGCATAGTGACTGCTGCCACTGCCATTTACTCATGGATATATATGAAATATAGATTTTCTCTGCACTTCTAGACCGGTTCCCTCAGCTTTCTCTTCCCTATGCTCCAGCAGTTTAAGGTCCTCTGCATTATCAATACAGATCTAGCAGTGCAGAGGATCAGGTAAGTAAAGTTGGCCATACATGGATTGAAATTCATCTGGTTCAGCAGGAACAGGCCACATTTTGATTAATGTATGGACTAACTGGTTCTACACAAGTCAATCTATTGATCCGGTGATTTTTTTTCCCAAAAGATCAGTGCTGGCCGGCAGAATACAATAGCTAACAAGAGTGACTTTCCCCATTGAATATGTGGATGGGGGAACTGGTTCATTTTTTTTTTCCGTTCATTCTGCTGGTTGAAAAAAAAAAAAAGAATCTTGTATTTTCTGCCTAAAAGTGCTTTTCCATCCCCTGGTTATAAACAAGCAGTTAACCCTTGCAGGTGGGTACAGCACCACTGCAAGGGTGGGTTTCTTATCCTTGGGTTTTAAAATAAATCTTTATAAAATATGTGTACTGCATGCCACCTACTGATTTTCTCTATTATGTGTTCTTGAAGGATGTTTTGTTGAAATGAAGGACGTTCTCGCACAACCAATCTTGTTATCCTACTAAGAAATGCTTTTGGTTGTTCTTCTCCTCACAGAATGTAAATGACATCACTACTCAGAAGAATGAAGCAAATGAGATAAAGAATGCATGTGAAAGTAGAGTAAAAAGTTTATTGCGAGAAAATGAAGAACTGAGACAAAGGATACAGCAGCTGGAGGCCAAAATAACTGAGCTTCATCAGAAAATCAATGAGCTGAATGAAGATAACGATAGAACAAAAGAGAGACTGCGGAGAACTGAGGTCAGGAAAATGAACATCTGAAAAGCAGATATGTTTTACTGAGACTTAGAGGGTTAGATATGATAATGAACTGGGCTGCATTTACTGTGAACAGTATCAGTGTAAACTAATCTTTCACATGTTATTGTATAGAGCTGTTCTGTCCAAATCAGTCCTTGGGGGCCGTGATCCTCCCCAGAGTTTTAGGATTTCCATAATTAACAGACAGTAAGAAATCAAACCAAATTGAATGTGTCTGCTACAGAACCTTAGCCGGAATACAGCAATAGAGACTAGAATTGGATACGCCTGGTGGAGAAAATGGTCTCATTTTCGTATCTTCTTCCAGTGCATATATTTAGAGAGCAAGTTCACAAATCTACTGCAGCCAAATTTTGCCGGGCTATAAAAAGGCAAATATCTCCCTGAGAACAGTGAAAGTTTATGCGAGCAATAATGAGAGCTCATGATAAACCCTAGAATTGCCCAAATGGCCTTATGCCTACCCAGACATTACACTGGGCTGTCAAATGGGGCCTTTTGTGGCCACTCTGTTTTTATTGTTTAATATGTGTGAATTATTAAGGATTACAAGTAAGCAATATAAAAGTTACATGGACGTGGTATGTGGGATCAAAGTTTGTGATTTTTCTGATAACTGTTGGGAAACTGAAGCATACCTGTCACAAGACTGTGTGGTTAGATACAGTAAGTGCACATCTGGGAACTTACCAGAATTGACTCGGCAATGCTGGAATTTCACTTAGGTTGATGAATCAGTACCAGAATTCAGCTTGTCAGGGTATGTTTGTAAACAAAGTGACGTCAGTGCACCAGTTCTACAAGTCATGATGCGGTTGCGCAGCCTGCCTATCACTGTCTGCCACCTGGAAAGGAGGGAGGGGAGAGGGGTAGTTGAGCACTGAGGGCTGTAGTCCTAGAAGTTTTTAAAGTAAACCCTTGGCAATTTTCAGCACAATGATCACAGTAACATATCCCTGAAAACTCTTTTGTTAAACGCTTTAGCTCTGCCCCATAGCAGAAATACTGCTACAGGGTGGCAGCTGTGCGCAAATTTATGTATATATACATGATTTTGTAACTCCGGGAAGGGGCACGCGCGTGCACCCTACCCATGTCGCCATTTGCGGCCACGGCTGTCAATCACCGGGTCTCAGCCGGTGATTACTTCCCAGCGTCCTGTGATTGCCGAGGATCTCCGACGTGGGGGGGGGTTGGCACAGCCATGCAAAGTACTGTGCTTACAGTGAAGCACCAAAACAGAACATAATGTAAAACAGTACACTGTTAACCCTTTGATCACCCCACATGTTAACCCCTTCCTGCCCAGTGCCATTAGTACAGTGTCAGTGCTTTTTATTGATCACTGTATTGGTGTCACTGGGGATGTCAGTGACACCAGATCAGTTCCCCCCAGTGTCAGAATGCCCGCCGCAGTCCTGCTATAAGTCTCTGATTGCCGCCATTACTAGTAAAAAAAAAGCCCAGTATATATACCGCCATTTGTCAACTTGTAAACGCAATAACTTTCATGTAAACCAATTAATTTACAGGTATTGTGATTTTTTTTTTTTGCAGCCGAATACATTTTGGCCTAAATTTATGATAAAATTTGATTTTTTTTATTTATTTCACTGGACATGTTTAATAGCAAAAAGTAAAAAAATATTGTTTTTTTTCCTCAAAATTATCTTTTTTTTTTTTTTTTTTTTTATAGTGCAAAAAATAAAAAATGCACAGGCGATCAAATACCACCAAAAAAAGCTCTATTCGTGGGAAAAAAAGGATGTAAATTAGTTTTGGTGCAGTGTTGCATGACTGCGCAATTGTCAGTTAAACTAACGCAGCACCGTAATGCAAAAAATGGCCTGGTCAGGAAGGGGGGTAAGTCCTCTGGAGGGCAAGTGGTTAAAATACCCCAGTGCTTGCAGTTTACAACTTTCAGTGCTGCTGGTTCCTGTTCTCTCAGTACTGCTTTCTTGTTCTTCTGGTCTTCTCAGGAAATGGTGGACAGGGCAATGTGGGGCCAGTCTATTTGCTTGGACAAAGGAAAAGGAGCAGGGGAGTGCCTTGTCACCCTAAGTTACAGGGCTACATGTTTCTATTGATGCATACAGTGTAGGGAGATATAACTATAGTCCCTGCATGCAAGGGTGGCTCCGTGGGGTGCTGCAAGGGTAAGGAGCCACCCAGAAACATGAAGCCTGGGGCAGAATTCATGGCACCAGCCTAAACTGAACTATAGGCAAGGATTAAAGGCTAAAGAAGCTGCATACTCCGTAAGTGATTAAATCATTTGCTGGAAGTGCTTAAAAACTGAGGGTTTCATATAACTTCAGGAAAGAATGATTATGAACATATAGCTGTCCTGCCTTGATCTGCAAGTTGAGAGCCATTGTACAACACTCAATAGATCTGTGGGAATGCTTAGAATCCTGTAAGGTTATGAAGGTGCTAGCTTTAGTCAAAAACGTAGCTTGGTGATTTGTAATCCTGTGATCTCTAAAATCTTCCAAAGGTAGGGAACTGTCTCAATTTAACATCAGCAGCAATCGTCAGCAATATCTATGTAAAGTACAATGGCAGACACATGTAATGGTAAACACCTTTTTAAGGCTCCAAAAATTATAATAATAAATATAATAAACTTTATTTTATAAAGCGCCTTTATAGGTAGCTTCTCAAAGCACTTTATAAAGAAAACAGACAAGAAATATAAAGGATAAAACAAAGGTAAGTGTAAGCTTTGAATGCGTTTAGAGAAGATGACTCTCTGATATTCCTTGGAAGTGAATTCCAGAGTTTTGGATCACAGCAGGCAAAATCTCTGTCTCCCATTTGAGTGTAGGTGAGTAGGGGGGACGCACAGAAGACCAGATTTTGAGGAGTGGAGGCGGCAAGGGGGGGAGTAAGTTGATAAAACTTCAGACTGATAATGGGGTTCCAAGCCATGATTTCAGTATTTTTTAACAGTTTTAATTGAAGTAAATGAATGGGCCATCCAAGTTTTTATATCACAAACACAAAAATTGGCTCCCTCCCCATGGAGAGATCCTGACACCAACAACCCCTCCCCCATGAAGAGAGCTTGACATTGACCAACAACACCCCAGCCCCCACCCGAGAGAGCCTTCCACTACCACCACCCTCCATACACTGGCAACCCCCTCCACCCCGGCAAGAGAGAAGACACCTTCACAGCTCCGGATATCCCTGGGAACAAGAGTCAGGCTCTACATACACCATCAAGCAGCCCGCAGCCTCTCAGATTCCACCTGGTCCCCATTCTGTGTGTGTCCCTTCTTTCATTCCTTCTTTCGGGGGGTGGCGCTGCCCCCCTGAAAAATGCCGCCCTAGGCAAATGCTTGTTTGCCTTGTGGTAAATACACCTCTGTCGTCGGCATAGAAATTATCATTAATATACAGGATTTATATAGTGCCAACAGTTTGCGCAATGCTTTACAATATAAAAGGATACTGTGCAATTATAATACATTTCCATAGAGAAGGAAAAGGAGGGCCCTGTTCATGGAGCTTACAATCTAAAGGGATTGATATGATAATTGAGCCCATGTGATCTAAGCAGTTGGCCAAATGGAAACATGTAAATGCTAAAAAGTAAGGGACCAAAGAATGAGCAGTATGGAACACTGTACTTGACTGGACCAACTTCAGACTGAAATCCAACAAGAGAAACAAAGTGACAGCCGATCAGTAAGATATGACTTAATCCATTTCAGAGCAAATTCTGAGACTCCAAATATGGTTTTAAGGTAAGGTGAGAGAGTAAAAATTGTGGTCTACAGTATCAAAGGTAGAACGAAGATCCACTAGAAGAAGAATAGTTAGTGAGCCAGAATCAAAAGCTAACAGAAGGTTGTTGGTGACTTTGACCAAGGCAGTTTCTGTGCTGTGCAGGTGCTGAAAAATAAATTGGAGGCATTCAAATAAGTTATTTAAAGCCAGGTAGTTATGCAACTGAAAAATCACAACTCACCCAAGGATCTTGGCAAGGAAGGGTAAGTTCGATATGGAACAAAAGTTGTTTAAATTGCCTAGAGCCATGTTGGGGTTTTTTTGGTATGAATTTGGCTGATGGCGGCAGTTTTAAGGATCGTTGGTACAGAATTGGTGCTAAGGGAGTCATTTATGATATTGAGAATAATGGGGCATGTAGAACTAAAACAGGATTTAAATAAATGGGTGGGAGTAGGATCAAGTATGTAGGTGAAAGATTTCATAATAGAAACCAATTTAATCAGAGATGCAGAGTCAAGTACAGAGAAGTGGGAGAGAGAAGATCCAGTAAAACTGGGTGGGTCAGGAAGTGATATAGAAGAAATGTGTGGTGAGGTAAGAATATGATGCCTTATTTTGTCAATTTTTGAGGGGAAAAAAAAAATCGAAGGATGTGTTACAGAGCTGTGTTGAGGCTGGTAATGTGGAGGGACTGTGAGGTTTGAATAATCTATCGATCGTGCAGAAGATTTGACTAGGGTTGCTAAGATTTTTTTTTTTCTATGTTATGGGAGAAATAGTTTGATCTAGCCATCTCAATTTGACCCATGTAGATAAACAAATAATCTTTCCAGGAGCTTCAATTAGCTTTGCCCACATCCCCCTCTAATCCCACGTTCTCAGGAATTAGGATTTCCAAAAGTTCCCAGGTATGGATATGTGATAGGCAGTAGAGAACAGTAATTTATGCATGAATAGACTTTGCTATGGAGGGGTGATGTTTTGAAAAAAGAGTGTGGCATACAATTTTCTTGTGGGACCTTTGTTGTCCGGTCCTGGTAGGTTTTATTCTTTCAAAAATGTGGAATGTTTTGCTTGGGACAGAAAGCGATCATTTATACTTCTGCCATTACATCGATGTTTTATATAACAATGTTTGTCATGTCTTAATTCTAGAAAGAAAAGCAGCAGCTGTTTGAGGAATTAGAAGATGCAAAAGATCAAGAAAAGGAAGCACTACAGATTTCTAGAGGGCTGGAAAACCAACTTGAAGACACAAAAGTAAGCTGGTCACCTGGTGATCGGACAATTAGCACTTTAATAGGAAGCCACCCCACCTTTTGGCAGCCCATAAATGAGTAAATGTTTTCTGTTCAACGCAATGTGGATGGAGTAATCCTTCCCCCTGAACTATTGTAGTCTGGCAGCAGGAAGCCTTCCCCCACTGTCAGAATACATTGATCAGCATTGCAGGCTATAGCAGATCGAGCAGCAAAAATCTGACAGGGTGGCTGTACAGAACAACCTCCCTGCCCATACATGGATCGAAATTCAGTCGGTCCCTGCTGAATTTGATTTAAAAAAATCAAATTTTCTCTGAAGCTTTTGGTACGAAACTGTACAGAGTACGTTTTGTATAGACCGCCATAGCTCAGTAGTTGAAGAGTCCCATGTAATTCACAGACTCCTTTTGATGTTGCTCACTGCTCAGCAGGTACCACCTGTCCAGACTCATGCTGGATTAATCACTTCAAATGATCTCAAAGCCATTAATTTGTTATATAGGTTATAAAATGTATATATGATCTGTAAATGATTTAATGTGTTTTGTTGATAGTTTGCTGTGTACTACTTTTATATTTAGTACAAAAAATTAAGGGCTTGTTTGCACCTGCTTCAAAATGTGGCATTGGACATGCTTTTTTTAAAACGCTCTGAATGCCAATCAAAACACCTGTCACAAAATAAAATGGTAAGCTTGGAGTCCTGTTTGCACGTTGCTTTTGCTTGGTTTCAAAAATGTATACCCGGTGTCGCTTTCTTGGAGCTTCAATGCATCTCCAAAGCCTCCATAGAAGTCTATGACAAAGCTTGCTTGCAGCACCTGCAGCTTTTAAGAGGCTTTTATTCAGCTTTAGCTTTGCTTTGTTTTGGAGGTATTTCAGGTATGAGATATCCCAGGAAGTACTGGGGAACCAAAAAGTAAACCTTTCCATCCAGATGTAAAGCTAATGGAGCCACTGATGGTCTTTTAATTTCAAAATATGTGCACTACTCAGGAAAATAATATATTGGAAATAAATGCAATATTTATATATATTCTATAAAAGGCTATTCTGTCTGTATCTGGCTCCCTTTTCACTGGATAACAGGTTATGATTTCAGAAGTAACGTAACATATATTTATAGCTCATACACTATATAGTTAAAGGATTGTGGACATCTGACCATAATACCCAGATCAGCTTTTTAGACATCCCATTCCAAGTCATAGGCATGTTGCCACAAGCCCTCCCCCCTTTCCTCTTCTTTGTGGTTATAACAGCCTCCATTTTTCTGGGAAGGCTTTTAGAGTGTTTCTGATGTTGTACAACAACAGCTGGCTCTCAGTAAGATGTCATCAGCAGTCACTTCTAGTTCATATGTATGTATTCTGAGAGTGTCTGGTGCAGACATCAGATCTGGTGTGCAACGTGGAGCAGCAGGAAGGTGAGCAGGGTCTGGACCAGAGCGGAACAGACGGCACACATGGTGTGCAACATGGGAATGCTATAGCGGAAGGTGTGCAGGGACCGGAGAGAGAAGACAGAGCGGCAGAGTTGGGGGTCCAGAACAGGAGAAACTAGAAAAGTTACACGTGCTATGCAGCATGGGAGCAGTATAGTGGGAGGTGAGCGGGGACCAGAGAGAGAGGAGGAACAGAAAACCATAGGATTGGCAGAGCTTAGGGTTACTGCTGAGTGAAGGATCAGCAGAGCTTGAGGTTACTACTGAGCGGTGGATCAGCAGAGCTGGGGGTTACTACTGTGTGGTGGAACAGCAGAGCTGGGGGTTACTACTGTGTGGTGGAACAGCAAAGCTGGGGGTTACTACTGTGTGGTGGAACAGCAGAGCTGGGGGTTACTACTGTGTGGTGGAACAGCAGAGCTGGGGGTTACTACTGAGCAGGCGATCTGCTGAACAAGGCTACTAATAAGCTAGGGATCTGCTGAACAAAGGTACCAATGAGCTGAAGATCTGCTGAACAGGGGTACTAATGAACTGGGGATTTGCTGACGGGTTGCTGCTGTGCTGGGGTACTACTGGACAACCTTCAAACAAATAGAAAATCCACACACAGGGCATTTGCCAAGCATTATTAAAGCTTAAAAAAGGCTTCAACGAAGCATCATCAAAAACACATCAAAAAAGCATGTTGAAGTGGTAGGCGCTTTAATGTGTGTTGAAGTGGAAGCAAGTGTAAATGAGCCCTAATACTTTTTTCACTTCTGCCCCATACCAAATGTGTTGTAGTGCACATCATTGTGCACCATTAGAATGCTTAACGTTAGAAATATGCTAAGAAGATCAAACAACGTAGTCACAAAATGTTTGCTGTGGTTGGAGAGACTGAAAGAAACATTTAGCCCACTGTATGTCAGTACACTTAGAAATGATGACTAGAAGAAACGTTCATTAGATATTCCAATGGTTAGTAGTGTCAAGTTGACATTCGCTGCCAATTGTAGTGATTAAATTTGAAGGCGCAAGGTGGGAAATTTTTCTTAAAGAAATTAAGTTCTACATATCGTAGTGATGAAATCTGAAAGAGCAAGATGGGGAATTGTTCTTGAAGGAATGATATTCGTACATATTGTAATGGAGCCTGTTTAATACTTCTGGGACTCCATTCCAATAGCAGGTCTGGATGAAATTGTAAGGGAATTTGAAAGAAATCAGTTGAGTCAAACATGGTATAGAAGAATGTTCTGATGAACAAATTGTCTACAAATGTTTGAACGAGAATCTAACCATGTACGGTCAGCTTTTCTCTGCCCTGCTTGTATTATGACTCAAGGTGTATGGGGCAAAAATAGGCAACCTATAATTACACAGTACACTATTCCACTAACAAAATATATACAAACTTTGCAAGGAGCAGCAACAAGAGGGCCACTGATCTACAACCTTTTATCATGTACAAGAGTGACTGCATCCTGCATGGATGGCTCAGCCTTGAACTCCAGGCAAATTTACAAACACAATTCAATTCATATGTCCATTTCAGCTGTTTTATCTGGAGTTCAGGATTTCAAATAGCCCACATAATAAAGCTCTCTAACTTAAAACCCTCTTACATATTTATTCTTATATTGATGATCATACGTTTTGTGTGTTTCAGAGAAGCCTCAGTAGGGTCACCCACGAGCATCAGCAGTTGACTGAGCGATTAAAAGAGGAATCTAATCAGAAAGAACAGTTAAGGAACTTGAAGAATGAAATGGAAGGTGAACGATGGCAACTGGACAAAACAATAGAGAAATTGCATAAAGAGGTAAGTCTAGGTTCTTATATCTCTACAGCTATAATCTAAATTCAAGCACATCACATCCCATTTGGTTTAGAGTGTACAAAAAAAGGGTGATGCACATAAAATTTTGGGTAGGCTCAGACTTTTTCAGATAAACCTGCAGTTGCTAAGATGATAAAATGTATGCAGCTTTCCTTTTTTCATTACTAAGAGATTGGACCCTTGACCAATAAAGGTGGACTATTTTGCAGAAACAGTACAGTAAGTATAGAAAAAGTAGATTATATTCCGTATAGTCAATGTCTGTGTTTACTGCATGATGAAGTATTTATATGTATGTGAGCACAGAGGAACAGTATGATTGATTTGTTACTGTAAATTTTTGGAATTTGTATGAAAAAAAAGACGGTGACAACTCTCTTTATGAAGCTTTTCATAGTATTATAGTATAGTATTATATTATAATATAATATTATAGTATTATATTACTAGTTAACCTAAAACAGCTTAATGAGTAGATCAGCTGTGTTACAAACGAATGAGAAGGATCCATCAAAGCAATCTCACATAGTGATGTGGTTGTTCTATAATGTTTTTTTTGTTTTGCCCATTTGTATGTTTTGTCATTATAAAATATTTAAAGAAGAGAAAAAATAAGGCTAGGTTCATACAAGCATGTGTGTTAAAATGCAATATGTGTTTTGGTACATCACACTGCTTTTTTTTTCTCTCAACTTTATTTGAAAGTGACAGTTGTTTTCCTTTTGCACTAGAGAAGACTTGCATTTTATCCAGTGTGAAAAAACGCAGGTCACCACACACAGTGAGAGTGAGATCTTGAACCAATGTAACTATGTATATACCATACCTGACTGATGCCCCTGGAAGCTGAAAATCACTGAAATCTACCCTGCCACTCCAGTGATCTGTACTTGCTTTCAGGTTCCGTGCTAAGCGGCTGCCCTGCTGTGTTGTGAACACAGGAGGTTGCTGCTCAGCATGGGCACCATTCTGAGAATGCTTTTCATTTTCTGAATAAATGCAAAACATTTTCTGATTGGACAAGATGGAGAGGCGGGGCAGTGACATCCTAATTGCATACCTACAATCGTCCAGCTTGCATGTATATCCCATACCTGATTGATTGCTGTGGAAGCTGACAGACACTAGTTGTCAGTGCTACTTCAGTGATCACCGCAACCTTCTGGGTCCTATACCAAATGGCTGCCCAACTTACACACTGACCACAGGTGTTCACTCGCTTAGGACTGCTGCAATTCACAGAATGCGTTGAGGAGAACTTATGAAAATTGAAGGAGACAGAATGTAGAGCAGCGTGCATGGCAACCAATACTTACCGTAGCTCCAATAGTCTAACATCTGCAGGGGCCCTTCTCCCTCCAAGCTTCTTTCTGGGGCCGATCCTTGCCCATCTTGATTGGCCAGTGCAGAAGTTCATTCATGCACACAGGCACCATGCCGAAATGTATACTGAGCTATGCATGTGTAGTTCATTGTACCTTTTCAGGACTGAGATCAGGCAGGTAGTTAATTTTACTGCAGAAGAGACATTGTATATCTCTTCTCCAATAAATAGCCTGCATGCTCACATTTTTTTTAAAGAAAGATGTTATTTCTGCTTTAAGTTTTGTGAAAGATAGAAGCTGACTGATTGCCATGCGCAATTGCTCCATATTCTGGCTTCTCCATCTTTGATAAAGTGTTGAGCGAGTGACCCTCCCCCCACGCACCCATAGTCAGTGTGCAATGGAGCACAGGACCCAGAAGATCATTGACCACAGTGACCACTATAGTATCGCCAACAATTACAGTGATTTATTAGATTCCAAAGTGGACCAATGTAAGTATGCAATTTAGATTATGCTTGGAGATTTAATCTCTTCACGCCGGCCGAATGCAAATGTGCAGCCTCCCGGCCGCAAATTTGCATTCTATTAAAAAAAAAGAACATATGTGCTGAGAGCGCGCGCCCTGCGCGCTCCCAACACACATGTCCAGTATTCACGGAAAGGTCCCTATCTCCTCTTTCGATCGGGACCTTTCCCGATCATGTGACCGCTGTGATGGCGTGTCACGGCGGTCACATGACCCTAAACCCCGCCCTGCTTCCCGGTTTCTGCAACACTTAAAGGGCCAGGAGGTGCCGGCGCGAAGGGGTTAAGTAGATCACAGCTGTCTATCTATCTATCTATGCTTTTTAGTTTTTATTGGCTTTTTCATTTGTGATACAATTGGGGCAGCTAACATTTTTCCCTATCTTTCTGGAAGGCTGTAGAAGCATAACAACATTGGAGCTGGTAGATGAAATTATGAGTCAAACTGGGCCTATCTCAGGCCCCAGGTCCAGAGGCATATTGATGAAGAAAACCCTATGAATAATTTTATAGGGAAGGATGAACAGAATATCATGAAACAGTACGATATAAAATTCATAAGCGCAGAATCCATGTTGTTATCCTAGAGGGCCTCTTCTTTCTCCCCCATCCTCTATGTGAATATTTGAGAGATATGAGGTATACTGTGAGCCATATAAATACAGCCAGTGAGAGATATGAGGTATACTGTGAGCCATATAAATACAGCCAGTGAGAGATATGAGGTATACTGTGAGACATATAAATACAGCCAGTGAGAGATATGAGGTATACTGTGAGACATATAAATACAGCCAGTGATGTGAATGAATGGCCAACATATTGATCATTTTCCTCTCCTTGTTCTGATGAAGATTGATATGTGAAATGCATAGAGAAAGGAGACCTCTGAATATTAAATTAATGGAAGCCTGGAATAATGGATACAGAGTAAGGTGGTGACCACCTTTGTGGTAGTCTCCTCAAACGGGGATCATTTATTCTGATTTTTATGGTTCTGTATTGGATGTGTACATCATTTTTATATATATATATGTGAATGAGTATTATATTTTTTGGAGTTGAGTAGATATAAGCACCTCAAAAGTTCATTAAGACACTTTGTGGCACCTGGATTTGGCAATGGTAATACACCTTGAAGTTAATCTTTTGAAATGTTTAGAATTCATGTGACTGCTCTCTAGAGATTCCTCGCTATATGTAATTTAGGCAATCCTGGACCTACTGTAAGTTCTACTTGTGTAAAGAGTACTGGATATTTATTGTGCATCACAGCTTAACTGAATCTTGATTTCCTTTTCCGACCTGCCCTGGAAATATCACAGCTTCAGTTTAATGGGAAATTCTTTTTTCTCATCATAGTTTTATATGGGAGGTTCATAGTGCTTATGAAGTTGCAGCTACTAACCATACTAGACATTCTGCGCTAAGAATAAAATGTTTGAGAACAAGAATTGTCAATTCCATTAAAATATTGGAATGAACTTCTCCTACTTTATTGCTTTGGTTTTATACTTTTTCTTTATAGTTCAAGGATTGTAATTACTAGTCAAGCTTCAAAGAGCCATTCTGTAAGTTAATTGTGATTCTACACCGAGCAGCTGGTTCACTGCTCTATTTTTGAACTGTTCATGAAGATGAGTTTTCTTTTGGTTATTCATTAACAATTTGGGTCGTTCCCAAATTACTGAGAATGAATTGAGCAGAACACTCTACATTCTGCAGTGCAGCAAATGTCGCCTTGAATTCATGTTAAGAGATAAAGAAAGACGTGTGTGTTATACAGTTTGTTCTCTCAGTTTATGAAGATATGCTGTTTGAAAGGGCTGAAGGGTTGCTCAAATAAACATTAGGTGTGTGTAATGAGATGTATACTGGCAGTATTTAGCAAATGTGGTCATTTAAAATGTGCTTTTTGTGCAGTTATAGAAAACTTCCCCTATAAAACATTAACCTGGCAATAACATGGACATATGGTACTAACCTTCAAGCTGGCTGTCATCATCAAGAAACTTTCTCTGCTGAGCTGAACTGGAGCAATTTGCTCTGCATGTTTTACATTACACAGTGTTACATAGTACGTGACTTACTCATGGCTAGGGGTCCTGATCTCTGTATTTCTGCTAGAACTGTTGTTCTCCTTAACAGGCATTCACTTGTTCTGCAGTCACAATCCTGATTCTAACTCAGTCTTTCATTCCACCTCAATAGAAAAAATGCTAGAGAAGGAGTACTTAAATATTCAATCTGGTTACTATGCAAGATGGATGTCTGAGATTTTTTTTGTTATTCATTTAGGATAACCGTAAATTCCAAATCCCATACTAACATATAAGAATAAGTCTTTAAAATTATCTGGTCACCACAGGGTTGCTTGTAATCGAAGCCTGTGCTGTAAAAGAAGAACATGTATACTTGTCTATCCACATCTCTATGATTTTGCTTCTTCCAGGTGCCCCATGTCTTCCATATCTGCTGCTTTGCTTCTTCTACATGGTCTATATCTTCCTTGACTGCTGCCTTGCTTCTTCCACATGATCCATGCCTTCCATCTCTTCTGCTTAGCTTCTTCCACATGGTCCATGTCTTCCATCTCTGCTGCTTTGCTTCTTCTTCATGGTCTATATCTTTCTTGACTGCTGCTTGGCTTCTTCCACGTAGTCTATGTCTTCCATCTTTACTGCATGGCTTCTTCCAGGTGATCCATGTCTTCCATCTCTGTAGCTTTGCTTCTTCCAGGCAGGGCATAACCTCCATCTCTGCTACTTTGCATCTTCCAGGTGTTCCACATCTTCATATCTGTACTGTTTTACTTGTTCTAGGTGGTCCATGTCTTCCATCTGTGCTGCTTTGCTTTTTACGGGTGTTTGTTACCCCACTGGCATGTATGTCCTTTAGTGATGTACAGCCCTGTAAAAGGAACCGGTGTGTGTGGATCAGGTGACCGGCTTTCCCATAGGTGCTGAAATTCCCACAACAGCTGGGAAGTAAAGCAGTACAGTTTGAAGACAGGAGTTGTCAGAAAAGGTAGGTATGTGTGCTCCTTTTTCACAAGTTACCCTGTGATGAGAGGGTCCATTCAATGACTTCAGATGACACTGGACAGTCCCCTACTGGACTACAGTACACCCCCTTATGTTATAGAGATGAGGCAAGGTGTAGATGTTCTGTAGTCCAGGAGGGGAAATTACTGCTTTGAATTTCAGTGCAACAGAGGTAGGTCAGCACACTACAGGAAGTTTGGAGCTCAATGGATTTCTGGCAGGATCATCAGGTATCTTTCTGTTCATGGGGAAATGTGCATATATTGCAGAGATATAATGCAAGATACTTTTTATTTTGCGCAGACATACACTTTAAATATGGGTTTATGCATGATCTATAGTTTAGACTACCTTGAGAGGACATGTTTCCAGGGTCCCCTAGTTTATCACAACCTAAAGGCTTGTAACATAGAGGGCATGCTACAGACTTGAGGTGGAGAAAATCAAAAAAATTTCTAGAGGTGCGGAATTCCATTTATGGGGCTCCCTGCATATACAGGGAATGCTATACTAACAAGGAAACTGCCAGACACCACCGGTTCCTCCATTTAGGAAATATTGTTGGGTAATGGCATGCATTTTTACAGCCTTGCTTTCCAAGATTTGGGAATTTCATGGCAAGGTCTAAAGTCATAGTAGATATTACTCCATGCTACTGAATGTTAATATTATTGGTTTATATAAGACCACCTCCTGTGGTGCTATAAAAAAGTGTGATGGGACTTCGCTTTGAAATAAATGCTTTATATTTGGTTTAAGTATGTTAACTTTTGGAAAAAGGATGCATTATTTGTCAGTGACACACAGAAATATTATTTTCTTCTACTAAAAAACTCTAGTGACCATTGCGCCTAAAAGTAAGCCACACCTATCAAGGCAATGTCAAAAATTATGACCTACTGCATAAGTTTCCACCTTTGCTCAAGAGCTACTAAGCAATCTCTATGTGATACCGGAAAGAACTGGCCTGTAGCCGCTACAGTGCAGAAATGCGGACCTTTACTGGAATGTACTTTGAAATATGCCTACAAATACCAGAGCATCACAAATAAATCCAGCCTGGGGTTGTTAATCATTATGCCTGGGTTCAGTGTGCCGCAAGGCTGCATGTTTTGATATTTCTTTTGGTCAGTCATGAGCTACACTCAGTTATTTGGATCACAAACCTTTAGTTCCTGAATGCATTAGTCTTCATCCAAGGTCATGCCAAAGTAGGGTTTTTTTAAAGAATTCCCTACAAAACGTAAGAAAAGTTGAAATTTGGGTATATGAAGGCAGCAAAAGAAATAGAATAGAAACTAGTATCAAAATTTGGTTTGCTCATTTTTGTTCGAACGAACACCTCAACATTAAAGCGGTATTACACCCAAAACTAGTAATGTTATATATTGCAGCTTATCAACCATCAGATGTGGTGGCTGAAATAGTTTTCTTTTTTAGCTTTTTATCCCTCTGTTTTCACATGTTGATAAGACCCATAACACACCTCTTGTATTAGAGTGCCTACACCCTGAATGAAGGCGCAAAGGGGGCACCATTTGAACAGCAGCATTGTCAACCTGGTGTGAGGGTAATGTTAGATGGACTAGCAGATTTGGATACACTAACAAATTGAAGCTGAACACCAGCTAACTCTTTATAAGCAGTACAGGATAAAGGTTTAAAAAAAAAAAATTGGAGGAGAGGGAGTAAACCAGTATCAGGACTTTTTTGAGTGCAGTTCCACTTTAATTTCATTCTCAAAGACATATTTGTAGGTTTATTTTTCTGACAACTATTAAATAAATGTTATTTGCTATTTTTTCATCAGACCTTATTTTGAATTAAGTTTGAGAACTGTCTTTTTTAAAGACCTTGATATTTGATTAATTTTTTAAATGAACTAGTTTAGGTTTGTAAAGTAATGAAACGAGTAGAAAAAAATCTATCAGTGTTTACTTATCTTACATGATGGGTATTAATGATTATTTAAAACCGCAAATTCTTTTTGGCAATCGTACGCTTAAACAAAGGGAAGTCCCTTAAATAACAGCAGTGTAGATGAACACAGATTGGCCATATGCCATGTAGCATTCTGAGCTCTGTCATCAGGAATGGCATAATTAGGTATAACGGGTGCAATTTCTGACACAATATTTGCCATTTTTAAGAAGACCTGTTGGAAACTTCTGGAGATGGATTTTCTGCAAAGATGGATTTTTCTCTCTGTCATGTAGGAGTATCCCTCGAAGTAGCATTGCATAAGTGCATAGATGAAGGAAACCCTGTCTCTCAACAGGATCAGGGTTAGCGTTCACATCTATAGATTATACACGATGCTAATGTCAGAGACACAGGTGTTCTAGAGGGTGAGTCTGGTATGTGGAGGTACATAGAACAAGACAAAGCAAGAGCTGATATATGGAACAATAGGAGGCAATGTGTCTACAAATACATATATCGTCCAACGGACCCTTTTTAAACCCAGGTCCTTCTGTTCCTCTACTACTTTGTGGTTTTAACTCTTTTATGGTTTGACATGTAGAAATGAAAGTTAACTTATTAGCTACCATAATAGTCTCTGCTGCTGTTTGTTGGTGCTCCCTCAAGTGAACCTGTGCTTTGCCAATGTCACACACTTTTTACTTGGGGCCCATTCACATCATTGCACTGCAGTAATGCACAAAATAATTATGTGAATGAGGCCTTAATTCCACTCCCAGAAGTGGTAGGAGAATGAATGGAAGGTAGATGTAAGCAGCTGTGGAGGCCAATATGTAAACAGGTTGTGTTTTACCATGCAATGCCGTTAAATTAGTTGGCCATTAAATTTTAATCAGAATAAAAGAAAAATAGTGATTTCTAATAGAAACTTGTCAAACAGAAATACAATAGACTTACTGTAGAATCCAATAGAAATTATAACTATTTCAAACAAGAACAATAAAAATATTAAACACAACCACTGATTTCCATACAATGCAATTCTTAATAGGGATAGGTTCAAAAATAATTCAGATTATTCTTTTTTTGAACCAAGGACAGATTACTGACTGTACTTGTAACCACTAACCATGACCCACCCATCGAATAATATAATTGTTGATTAGATTTCAGATCATGTTGAGTTTTCCCGTTCATCCACTGTGGAGCTTCAAAAGCAGTTTGATGACTATAAAGAGAAGAATCGGAAGGAAGGCTCTGAAATGCAAAGACATGTTAAAGATAAGTCACTGGAATTGGAAAGATGCTATCAGACAATCAAGAAGCTGCAAGATGAGGTAATTAGCACTCTTGCAAAGATAAAAATGTGAGACTATACCATGTAATATTACTTTGAGGTGAGAAGGTTGTATAATGTTGGGTTTCATAGCTTTGTGTAATATTGGCCTTTTCTCCTTAGATTCGCCACTTGGAAGAAAATTTGCAAGACCACCAGAGAGCCCATGATGACTCGCTGACCAAGAATCATCTTCTGCAACAGACAATTAAAGATCTACAGTACGAGCTGGATGCCAAAAACCACTTAAAGGATGATCGCACTAGACAAATAAAGTCAATGGAGGTAGTATTTGAAGGCAAAACCCTTAGTTCTGAAATTTGCCATTTGGATAGAGATCAAATATTAATTTTCTGAAGTATTAGGTGCCATCTTTACTGTGCAGTTTTGTTTATGTGAAAGTAAAAAATTTGAAGGGCCCGTATGCTGTAACGTATCCCTACTACAGTGATCTCCATTACCTTCCAGGTACCATGTCAAGCAGCTGCCCTGCTGTATTATTTTTATTGTTATTATATAGGATTTATATAGTGCCAACAGTTTGTGCAACACTATGTATTGTGAACACAGGAGGTCACTCATTGAGCACAAGCGTCATTCAGGGAATACTTTGCATTTTCTCAATAAATGCAAAGTGTTCTCTGAACAAGATGGAGTGGCATGGGGACCACCTGTGTTCAGTAAGCAACAGGGTAGCCACTTGGTAGGTAGGGGACCTGGAAGCTAGTGGCAATAACTGTAGTATCGGTGCTTTCTACAGTGATTTCCAGCTTCCACAGGGATCTCACAGTTATGGCATATACATACTTACATTGGTCCAAACTGGACCAATATGATTGTGTAAACATTGCCATACTTAAACTTTAGCTTTAATATATTTTATGTGTATGCTATTATCAAGCAAGAGTGAGCTGTGAGAAGTGATGTGGCGCGTAGCTGTGATATTTTGCTCTTGGCAATGGATGGGCACATGACAACATGTGAGCTACTTAGGTGTTTCCACACAGAGGTCTAAATCAGGACTGACCTTTACAGTAAAGTAGAAAGACAATTATTATTAGAACATTTGGCTATAAATATCATAATTTAAATAATTTTAATATATATTCCTAACAGAATGTTCTGTGCAGTAAATGTAGCTTTCTTTCCCACACAAGAAGCCTTGAATTGCTAATCTCCATGGATCAATATTCTAAGCTCTGTAATTAAACTACTCTAAATCCTCTAAATTGTTCTTGGAGGGTCTGAGATCCCAGTCTATTGACTGATGGATATTTTCGCTAAACATTTTATTACCGTAAAATATAAAAACATCTGGCTATTAATGTTAGAAAACCCAGGACCCTGCATTCACTCTGTCTGGTCCCCCACAGTACACACTACATGGAAATGGAAGAATTTTATTAAATGTAAACTGCTAAATACCTTTTCTCATCAGCAGTTAGAGCAGTCTTATGGCTTCTATCAGTGTCCAGCAGAGCACATGTTAAAGCTTGTAGGAGGAGTTTTCTTTATTAGGCGATTGCCTAATAACACTGACAGGGAAGAGACCTCTCCTGCCAGCAGTAACATTCTGCTGTGTGTTTCTCTGTATAGCAGATAAATACTCAGCAGCATTTTTCCCTAGTAAAACACACACAGCACATTATGTTAAGCAGCACACAGTTAACCCTTTCCTGCCCAGTGTCATTAGTACGTCAGTGCTTTTTATTAGCACTGATCACTGTATTAATGTCACTAGGAATGTCCCACAGTCCTGCTATATGTCCTGATGGCCTCCATTACTAGTATAAAAAAAAAAATTCCAGTATATATACTGCCATTTGTAGATGCTATTACTTTCACACAAACCAATTAATTTACTTGTATTGGGATTTTTTTTTTTAGCAAAGACATATAGTAGAATACATTTTGGCCTAAATTCATGACGAAATTTGATTTTTAAATTTTTTTTACTGGATATGTGTTATAGAAAAAAGTCAAATATATATATTTTTTTTCAAAATTGTTGGTCTTTTTTTGTTTATAGCGCAAAAAATAAAAACCTCAGAGGTGATCAAATACCACAGAAAGGAAGCGGTTTGAGGGAAGATAAAAAAATGACATAAATTTCATTTATATACAGCATTGCATGACCGCACAATTGTCAGTTAAAATAACGCAGTGCCGTATTGCTGGTCAGGAAGGGGGTAAATCCTCTGGAGTGCAAGTGGTTAAACCATATTTGTTCATTTAACATGAGTGAAATAAAAACATAAAAAATATTAATATCGGTGTACCAAATAAAAGCCTAATATGTCCTTAAAAAAATGTCAAAAAGGTTTGGTTAGACAAATTGATTATGGTTACTATTAAGTTAAGCAATACATAATGATGCTGCTAAAATTGGCTTTAAGATCTAAATTGAGATCTAAACTTTAGTAACTATTGTCACAAAATGGTTAAGCTGATCATTCACAGCATAAAATTAAAGAAAAAAAAAAAAAGAAGAGGAAAAAAAACATTGCTTCTTCAAGTGCTTAGTTATTGCTCTCAGCTAATAGACTGCAGGTATACACTGTATTAACTTTTCAAGAAAAAAAGAAACTGGCCCTGGTAACAGGCACTAGCTCTGTCTGTCTTTTATTCAAACATTTTATTGCTGGCTTCAGAAAAGCATAAAGGCACAAATTCACAATTGTTCCTGTGGCCTCACCTGCAGGTCAGGTGCCCCCTCTCCTTTCATTTTAATGGTTTATGTTGTATATACTGACATAGCAAATGACAATATAGATCATCGGATCACTCAACACTTTAGCAGCAAATTTTGTTAATGATCCTGTTCATTCATCTTTGAGTCGGTATTCTAAAACTCCACATACAAAACTGCTTTGTTTTTTCCCAGGACAAGATATCTCAGCTGGAAATTGAGCTTGATGAAGAAAAAAACAACTCAGATCTCCTCCTAGAAAGAATAACCAGATGCCGAGAACAGGTACGTCTTTATCTGCTCAGAAGTAGGTTTAGCAGCGGTGCTTCTGGCACTGAACTGGACCAAAGCATTTGGCCCTGTTTATCAAGTATCTAGGGTGTAACTGTCTGTCAAAGAAGTCAACCAGTAGGGTTTTTCTTATGGAGAAAATGAAAGAAAGATCTTGCTGCAAAATCGCATAGGTGACATGAGACAAATTTACTAAAATACTTTGATAGATTAAAAATTATAAATATCAAATTTTAAAAAAAATCAAATAAAAAAAAAAAAAGAAAATTATGCCTGTTGGCCCAGATGTACAACTTAATATTTTGCTTTGGAAAACAATGCCCTTTAAATCTAGGTTATTTCTATTTGCAACACAAACCTTTTGTCTCTTTTTATTTTTATGAATCAACCCCACTGGATGTTCAAACCTCACAAATGTTAGTAGTCAACATAACAGAAATGTCTGACACAATTTTCCACCTTGTTGTCCTTCTAGACCTCAGATACATGCCGTAATAATAAAACAAATATAGCAATAAGATATGCAAACTCCATTTGAAAAGTATGAGTAGGTAAAGCTTAGTACTTTTTTTTTTTTCTTCTTTTTTTTGAACATTTTTATTTAGTTTGAATTTTAACAATAATATGAATGCAGATCCACACATCACAATATAATGAAACATGGACAATATGTGTAAGCGAACTGGACAATATCATGAAACATGGACAATATGTGTAAGCGAACTGGACAATATAATGAAACATGGACAATATGTGTAAGCGAACTGGACATTAAGATATACAAACACCAAGTGAAATACAGATCAAACTACTATTTTAGACTGTAAGAAAATAAACAGTTAAACATAACCTTACATACGTGAGCTTACATTCGATTAGGCATGAGCGACAATATACATAAATATTGCATCGCATATGGTGCAAAGGCACTCCCCAAAAAATGAGGGGGAGGGGCAAAAATTGAGAGTATATAAGTTTATAAGTTCTAACAGTCCTCATAGCAAAAGCTTTGTTTGTCATGTGGATGAAAGAAAGAAAGGGGAGAGGAGAAGGAGAGATGGGAAGGGCGAGGGGAGGGGAAGCAAATGTGAAAATACATCTAATGTGGTCTATATGGTGGGGTGGGGAGGAAAGGGAGAAAGCGGAGAAAAAGATATATCTAAAATAAATAACTCTTAAGTCTGGGCAAAGTTGTTCCCGGGGTCCAGCACACCTTGTTCTATTATCTGCACTGAGCTAGGAGTTGAGCCCAGAGAGACAACCCTATAAGGTGGGGAGGGAGAGGATGACAGAAGGGTAGAGAAAAGTGGAGAAATCTCTGGGTTTTTGTGTAGGTAAATACTGGCCCTAAGTTTAGCAAATGTGTGATGGAAGATAATGTTTTTGTCTTATTGGTTATTAGCTTTTTATGATGTTGACTTACAGAATTCCGCCCAGGCATAGTGGGCTTAAGCTGTGTCAGTCTATCGAATTTGTAGTGCATAATGGATTCCATCTCAAAAAAGTAATGCACCTGCTCTATCTAGTCCTTCACTGAAGGCACTGTAAGTGTCCGCCATAGTCGGGGGATTAGGCTGCGCGCTGCATTAATGAGCTGACTAAGTGAATGTTTGGCTGGTAAAGGGGGTTGCTCTTTGTCAGCGTGTAGAAGATACAGTTCGAGGGAGTATGGATATTGGGAACTGATCATTTGTCTTGGAAGTTTCTGGAGTTCAGTACTCTGATACATCGTTATAGACCTTTAGAGTCATTGCTTTAATTGATTATTTTACTTTTGGTTCTCAACTATCTTTACAATTGAAAAATGGTAGGCTGTCAATTAAACAAAATAGCAGTATTAAGCGTATTTGCAGGTGTACACAGCTCTGTTCCTGGGTAGAATCTTAAAAAACTTTGGCAATCTGTTGCATGAAAATCACAACTTAAAATAATTGAAAACAATTCAAAAAAAGAAAATGAATACAAAATACAAATAATAATGTAAAATATATCATAATGTTTTTATTATGCTTTTTCTTAAAGTGTTTAAGTATACCCTAGCAATTCATTTTTTTTCTACCTTTTCTGGTCCGTTAAACATACTATATTAAGTTATTGGCGCAACAAAAAAAACTGTTGACCACGTCAGCAATCCAGTGCTGTCTTATGTCCTTTGTTTTTTCTTGCTGATTCTCAAGGAGTCTAATTAGCGCACCTAGTTCTAGTCTTTGACACCAGAATATTAGAGTCTATGTTGTGAAGAACAGGATAGGGGAAGGGTTTGAGTAGTTTAGACCAGTGTTTCTCAACCTTTTTTCAGTCAAGACACCCTTTTTTGGATAATCAGTCAAAAATTCTGCACAATCCATTCTGCAATGTAAAAAACTATCCTATAGCCATCCAGTACACCCAACGTTATAGGCAATTTATTTTTCCAAAGCAAATACACCTTTGGACACTGGTACCAACTAGTATTCCAATGTGTCTCTCTGTTTCTTTCCCTAAGTCTGCTAACGTGACTTTAGTGCTGACAGAGAGGGGCAACAAGGATGTTGTGCATGCACACCACGTCCTCCTTATCAACTGATGATGTAATTGGTTGTTAGGATGCTGGCAGGTAGAAGGTCATAAAAGTGCACCATGAAAAAAATGTGGTTTTGTGTACTAAAAGGCAGGATTGATCCAACTGCTGGCTTGTATACGATTTTTGGTCATTTTGCCAAGGCACCCCTGAAGCAGCCTGAAGGCACACCAGGGTACCTAGGCATCCTGGTTGAGAAAGGCTGGTTTAGACAAAAACAACTGGGCAGGACAGGGCCTGAGTCCACAAAAACGCTGCGTGTTGTCAGCCCACAACAAGGAATTAGAATCTGAGTGTATTTTTGGCAGATCAACATGTATTTTTATAGCTTATGTAAAGTGATATTAAACCCAAAAACAAAAAATGTATACATTGCAGCTTACCAGTTCATATATAGTATGTGGTGACTGCATTGGTTTTCTTTTTAGGCTTTTTTTTGCCTTTTTATGTTTTGTTTTTCAACTTCCATTAACAGACCAAGCTGTCAAGACAAGGTAGCAAATAGAGGGTGTAGACAAGCCATTTAACGCTGCCAGGGGCGCACTTACAACGATCAGCTTTTATTTATTTATGTAAAACCTTTATCCCAAAAGGAAAAAAAACTTGCTGTATCTGCTTATAAAGTGTTAGTGGAGTTCAGTTTTTGTTTGTTAGTCCATCTTAATCCAGTTGAATTACATCCATCTTAATATACTAATGCATCTAACACTGCCCCCTCCTCAGATTGGCAATGCTGCTGTCTCTACTACCCTTCCATCAAATGTGGAGACAGCATAAGAAAAGAAGTGTGTTACTGAGTGGTTGACCAGGCGAAAAAAAAGTGAAAAAAGGCACCTAATGCAGCCATTACTGTAATGATATCACGTATTGGGCATACGAAAAACTGTGTCTGGCGGCAATGTTATTCGAGAATCATAGGTCGGCCATGAGGGTTTTGTAGAACCGTTAACATTGCAGCCACAAATACCTAGGAATGCACCTCTATAGCCTTAACTTAGTCACATTTCATAGAGCCTGTTATCTCAACTTAGGGACAGCAGACACTAGCACACAGGCCTTTGCCTGAGCTGTAAATAGCTAATTGAGTTCTGGCAGTATGTCTTAACCAGGGCTAATGGGGATTGTAAAGCAGTCAGACTTTCAGTGACCTTTCAGAGACCCCCTGACCAACTCAAAATGTAAAAATCTACACACAATTCATAAAATCAGTCAGGACCAAGACACATCATACATGACTAAGCTACAGTATACAGAAGGTGAGGTAGCAGTCAGATACCCCCTGGTTGACAGGCCTATCTGAAATGTCCTGTGTTTAGTGGACATGAAATATAATGCTGAACAATAATCTACCAGTTTCCAGAATGCATCCGGTACATATTGGAAGATAATAATATTAATATAAAACTGTGTGTATGGGAGAGCCATGATACAGTCATAAATATAATGATCTCCCCTCAGCCGCTTAATTGGTCAGATTGTCTCTGACAACATCCCTTTGATATCAGAGAAAGAGACTACTACTAAAGTTGACAGCTCTAGTTTAACATCAAATCAAGAAACTGGACTTGATAGAGCCACTGTACCATCTTTGCCTATTCATTGGACTAATGAAACCAGGACATTGTTAAGTATTCTCACCCTCACCTCCCTTTTATTTCTCTGTTGCATTGACGTCTCTTTGTTACTTAATATCTTTTTTTTTTTCTGTAAACATATTATTTGCACCATTTTACCCTTTTCGTTAATAAACTATATTTTGAAAAGTGTTAAAACTGACTCTAAATGCACTAATGCACACTAAAGGAATCCCAGTCTCTTGAAGGTTTTTGTTGTGTGTTTTTGTGCATTAAAATTCATTATAGTGTATTTTTTTTCCCAAAAAATTTAGTTTGAAAAACTGCTACACATAACATACATAATTGTATGTATAATTGTATGTATATGCATAACATACAAAATTGCAAAACCCACCATTTTACTCTCTAGGGCCTCTGCTAAAAAATAAAGGAACACTTCAGATCTCAATGGGGAAAAATATCATGCTGGATATCTATACTGATATGGACTGGGTAATGTGTTAGGAACATAAGGATGCCCCATTGTTTGATGGAAATTAAAATTATCAACGTACAGAGGACTGGATTCAAAGACACCCCAAAAATAAAAGTGAAAAAATTATGCAGCAGGCTAGTCCATTTTGCTGAAATTTCATTGCAGCAACTCAAAATGCCTGCACACTTTCGCCACATTAGGCCGGGCATTGTCGTGCATCAGGAGGAACCCAGGACCCACTGCACCAGTGTAGGGTCTGACAATGGGTCCAAGGATTTCATCCTGACATCTAATGGCAGTCAGGGTGCCATTGTCTAGCCTGTAGAGGTCTGTGCGTCGCTCCATGGATATATCTCCCCAGACCATCACTGACCCACCACCA